AACTAAGACAAGTACCCACTTTTCTAATCTCAGTTTCCAAACTATGAATTCTGACATCTGAAAGGAATAAGAATACTAATGTGCTATGTTTCATGCACACAGATACCATGTCAACCTCAGAGGAGCAGTTGACAAGTTCATGGGTTTGTGTGATCCATACAGGATATCCTGTAACAGTTTGCCATTTCTGTAACAGAACGTCCCCCACTTTTTTTTTTTTAAACCAGTGCTTCGTAGGGATTGAACACAGGGGCTGACGAGTGCTAGGCAAGTGTGCTCTGCAGTAAACTACCTAGTCCCCAGTCCAGCAGGACCATGCTAAAATTAAAAAAAAAAACAAAACTTGGGGCTAAACCCTTGCTCAATATCTTATTACTACTGTAAATGCTTCTCTGGTTTAAATACCTCTTAGGTAACTATAGCATTAGGCTGCAATTAAGTAGCTGAGGTTTGAGACAGAAGCACTGGTCCCAGAGTCCAGAGAGGTTGCAGAATCTAACTCCTGGCCCAAGAACTGAGGCAACAATAGGCACTGGGAAGCACTCTTGTCTTGTGCCTCATGTTTTGGAGACTGCCGAGCACCTAATGTGGGAATAATCACCATGCTTAGAGGAGATTATTAGATAATTTATTGTTTACAAGCCCTAAAGAGTATCACTATGGGGCTGGGTTATATTCCAGGGGTAGAACACTTGCCTGGTATGTGCAAGGCCATGAATTCAATCCCTAACACTGAAAAAAGTATCACTAGACTGAGTTAATAGAAGACAATCTATCAAAACAATAAAGGACATTTTAATATATTAATTTTGAACTTTTTCTACTAAATTTTCATAATCATATATTTTGTCATTACTGACCCATTTACTTCAAATATGAATTAGCAGTTTATTTTCCAAACATGGGTTAATTTTCATTTGTCACATTTTAAAAATTTTTATCTGCCCTGTGAGCAGAGCTTTAGTTAGAGAATATCTTACTTGTCTTATTATTTCTTTAATTCAACTGATTATTTTTACCTTTATCTATGACATAGAGATTTCACTGGATTTACAAGGATAAATTAAGAGATAAGCTACTGATTTTCCATCTAGTATCCTAAATTCTATGCCCAAAATACACAATCTATCTTAGAAAAAAGCATGAAAAGCAAGGAAAATTCCTAAGGAAATATACAGAAATCAGCTCAACTCTCCAAGACAATGATGATATTCATAACCTAAATATATGACATTTGAATAATAGGTAGTTGATGACTAAAAAGGAAGTAGTAGATAAGTTGATGGCAGTGACTTCATTAATGTTGACAGACTTCTTAATATACTATACTTTGTAAGTCCTTAGTCCTGATACTCAACTCATAATTCATTGGTTAATTCCTTCTAACTCTTTCATAGCTATCAGTTACACCATAAAGATATTATTTTATTTATATGTGTGACAATATTGTAAAATCTGCTTTTAAATGTAAGCTTGATAACCTTCCAAACTACATTAATTATGGATTGGTAGTCTTGAAACAATATGTAAAACAACACTATCTTATTGGATTTTATTTTTACTTATGGTTCAAATTTCTATGTTTTATCTAAGTTCCATTTTTTTCTGAATTTTAAAAATTATTTTTGTTCTCAACAAGAGCAACTGAACTCTGTACTGAGCCAACTCACGTTTTAGATTATAAATGTAAATCTTGTGCTTTCTGTTATAATTGTATACTCACCACTGTTCTAAGTTGTTTAGTAACTAGTGGCTGTTTCTTGCTCTTTGCTAAGATAAAATTCCTGTAACCCTCTCCAATTCCTGTTACCAAAGTTAGCTTACAGAGATGACTTCAAAAGAAAATTAAATAGGCTTTAACTTCTTGTAACCTCTGGGCTATGCAAGGCTGCCTGCAGGTACTCAGGTGCAAATTAACCAAAAACTAAAACAAAAGCCCCAGGAAATATAGTTTGAATAGTGGTCACAATCATTCTAAAAGCATTATTTTGTGTCAGACAATAAATTTGTTTATCAAACTCAATGTGGTTCCAGGTTTTAAAACCCCTCTCTGCTTCCTGGGCTGCCGCCTTTCGGTCCTCTCCTGCGTGAGAGCAGAAGGGGCCCTGAGCTCAGTAATAAACCGTTTTCCAAATTCCAATCTGGTTGATCTGGTTCCTATTCTGAGTGACCTATAACAAACTCCACTTTCAAATAACATTTGCTTGTATAATTTGGTGGAAAGACACGTACTAAAAAAATACTTTTCAGGTTCAGAATTTCAAAGTTCTTAAATTGCCCCAGCTACATTGAGGTCATTCTGCTTTTCTCTAAAACTCTTTCCAGTCACTTCTCAAACATTTCTTCCCTGAAGTCCTGGAAAATTAACCACACAATGTAATCTCCTTGGAGCTTGGGTTTCTCCTGCATTTCCGATACTGAGGCTTAAAGAGCCACTGTTACTTCCAGGTTTTATCTAGGAGATTCGTGTCTTTTGGGCTCATTAAGAGCATTTCCAAAGATTACAATGTCAATAGCACCTAATTACTGCTCTGTGAGAAAGGTCTTTGAGTAAATAAACCCAGTGACCAGGCACAGGAGACAATAGGTAGCTCAGATCCTGAATTTTATCACATGTAAATAGCAAACAAATTAATAATCTCACTTATACTGTCTTGGGCTAATTACTACTGTGTAAAAACTTTCAGATAGCTTTGTATTCTTATATTGAACAGAATTTATTTATCTCTTAAAACTTTTTATTGTTCCACCAATGACTGCAGAACAATCTAGAATTTTCAGGACTTGAAACATAGCAAAGCCATTTTCAAATAGTTTTTAAATTATATTTTAAAAAGATATATTTGTTTTAAATTATACTTTAATTTACTTTTCTCCAAAATTGTGTATATTTTGATACTAATGTTGGATTTGACTTTTGCTCACATTTATAGAACAGCAAAGATTTAAAAAACAAAGGAAGGGCTAAGACCACTTTTAATTTACAAGATCACTTCTGGTGTTCTTGAGTATCCATGGGGGGTGAACAAGTAGATTTGCCAGAGTTTGTCTTGGGGTTATATCAGCAACAGTTCAGAAAAAGAGGGGGTCCTGCACATTAGCTCAGTTGATTAAGGGACTGCTTTAATAAAGCAATCAGGATGCTGTGGTTCCCTCCTCAGATCTTCAAGCCTTACCAGACCTGCCCTGAAGGCATCTTGAGCCAGCCAAAAAAAAAAAAAAAAAAAATTCAGAAGAAGAAAAATAGAGGGCTTAAGAGCTAGTTGCCTGTATTACCTCTTTAAATCCTCAGAACAAGCCCATGTCGTGGGGCTTAGCAGCAGAGGCCCCTGAGCTACCTAGAGAGTGAGCAGATCCCTGGATCTGTCCACCTCACCCTGCTTGGTCCCTTTGTCACAGCCTGCATTTTCATGTGTGAGGTCACCGTGAGGTCACGAGTGCCTCTTGGCAAATGGATCTAATTGAGTGGGTGTGGCACAGGTCCTCTGTCGGAGTTGGCCCCCATGACACACCATGTGCAGTACAGCCTGACTTTACTAAACCTCGCTGTCATCAATGATCTCGCCTGTAAGATGGGAAAAAGCCAGAGGACCCTTCTCATAGCATTTGGGTGAGACCTAGAGCTGAAACCCAAAGGGCATTCAGAATATCCATATCCACTCCATGTTAGCTGTAATACTTCTTTGTTGTTGCTGTTGCGGTACTGCAGCAGTACTGGGGAGCAAACCTTGGCCTTCTAAATGAGCTGTATCCAGAACCTGTTTTTTGTTTTTTTTTGTATTTTAGGGAAGGGTCTACAGGGTGTTCAAGATCTCACTATAAGATCGGACTCACAGTGATCCGCCTGTTTACAGTCTCCCAAGAGCTGGGATTAAAGGCGGGCCACCATGCCCAGTCTCAGTTGCCTTCTCATTGCACCCTGGGGGCGAGGCCTGCAGGGCAGGGCTTCCAGGCAAGTAATCTGCTGAGCTATGTGGCTGGCCCTATTTTTAAATTTTAAGACAGAATCTTGATAAATAGCTCAGGCTAGGCTTGAACTTGTGCTCCTGTTTCAGCCTCTCAGAGTGCCTGAACCCTGTGCACCATCACACCCAGCACAATGGTATGCTTAAAAATTATTTGGTGGTGTGAAGGTACAACTAAGAACTTTGCTCTTTGATATAACAATGAGGACTCAAGGAAGATGATGTTCAGTAGAATATTTTGAATATTAATATTATATTTGCATATTTTTAAAAAATGGAACAAAACCAATAGTGACTTTAAAGAGTTTAGTTTGGTGAAAAGGTTTACCAGATATGTTACAGTCAGGTTATAGGAAGTAATAAGGATTTCTTTGCAAATCAGATACATATTAACCATTCATGTAGCTAACATCTCTTTAGAATATATTTATGAATAATCCTTTATTTTTTATTTTTAAAATTTTTTTCCTTTTATTAACTCTTTTTTTTATTTCTTATAATCTCCTTGTCATGAATAATCCCTTAAAACAATATTAAAGTGCTGAACTGTTTCCTATGGGCCTGAAAGGAGTAGTACTCAACTTCTGGGGCTGGGGAGATGGCTCAGTAGAATAAGCACTTCCCTGGCAAGCACAAGGGCCTGAGTTCATTCCCCAGTTCCACAAACAAAACAAAACAAAACAAAACAAAACAAAACAAAACAAACAAAAACAAACAAACAAACAAACAAAAAACCCCAAAGTACTTTGGTAGCTCAAAAGGAATTGTTTCTTGAAGACAGCTTGACCCTGTGGAGACTCCTGCATACCGCACAAGCCTTTACAGTTAAAGGCTGCTTGCTTGTTTTCTTTCTTTCTTTCTTTCTTCCTTCCTTCCTTCCTTCCTTCCTTCCTTCCTTCCTTCCTTCCTTCCTTCCTTTCTTCCTCCCTCCCCCTCCCTCTCTTCCTTTCTTTTTCTGCAAAGCTTATTTCACTCAGTCCTTCTTGGCAGCTGCCTTCCTCATGGTGGCCTGCACGTTGCTCAGCTCCTCACACTTCATGCTGGTACAAATTGCATTCCCACCATTTTCTTGATGAACTTGAGGGCGTCTTTGATCTTGGAGACCTTGAGCAGCTTCATGGTCTCTGCTTCATGGTCTTTGCTCATAGGGGGCAAAGTTGCACACCTCCCGGATCATGTCCTGCGTGAACTTGGTGTGTCTTTGGATGTGGCATCCATGACAAGGGCTGTGCCTCAGTTTGCTCACATTCTTAGTCAGCTTGTAGCCCTGGTTGAGGCCCACAGCCATGCAACAGCATAGGGCAAAGGATACTGTTCTTCAGTGGTTGCTATGGAGGAAGTAAAGGCTACTTTCTGGCCAGGAGATTCTTTTACCTCCACCCCCAGTGGAAATGAAATTCACTTTTCCTCTTGTATTTCTTTGTTTTTATTCAATAAAATATAAAATATATTTCTAGAAAATTTAGATTGACTGAGATTGATTTGTCAATAAACTTTTATTAACTGAACTACTTCTCAACACTTCTTTTAGAGGGAAGAACGTTATGTGCCGAAGTTGCATCGCAGATTTATTTCATTTTGGTATGTTTGTTTGTTTTTGTATTGGAGGTTTCATAGAAAGAATCCTCCAGGTACCTTGTATTCAGGCGCCTTTGATGTGTACCTTGTCACTTGTGCTGCCTCAACAATGCAGATTAATATGCAGACTTGTGGCTTTCTGGCAGACTACAGAGCTATGGACCATAAAAAGTATTCGTATTCAATGTTATTAGTAAGGAAAAAAAGAAACTAATGAATCTCAGGAGGCTTTTCAGCAGACAGAATGGAGATAATTGCATTTTGCAATATCAGGAACAAGAAGTGGGAGTGTTCGTTCCTGCAGGGTTTCTGCAAGGGTTGTCAGGTGCCCATCCGAGTTCTGTGTTACTCAACTGGACCTTTGAAAAATGGTTTACTTAGCTGGGGAAAGTCAACACTGGATGTAGAATATTCATCTGAATTTTGGGGAATGAAATACTGTGGTTAATTTAACTTGATACTGAAAATTTTAGTTAAGCGCCTATTCAAAATACCAATTCACATTTTTATGATTAATTATGAATATATCATGATGTTTTAGAAACAAAGAACTTGCTGTGTGGGTTGGAACTTCTAACAGCTCTACAGATCTGATTAATTATTTAGATGCTGATACCTTTAAGTTTGGCAGCTTCCTCTTCCAACAGATATATGCTGTGGAGTTCCATATCTGCAGCCCTATACCCTCAGTATGAGCCCAGTACTATGACTGCTGACAGGTTGTTTTTTTTTTTTTTTTTCCACTGCTAGGAATCGAACTCAGGACCTTGTGCTTTCTGGACAGGCATTGTGCCACTGAGCTCTATCCTTGGCCTTGGAAGATTTTTTTATACCATCATAGGTACCTGTCAGACCAAAGTTACCCATCTCCATGAGCACCATAGAAAAGCTTCATTGGACAAATGTTCAGAGGAAAAGAAATTCTTGATATCTCTGCTGAAGGTCACCAAAAGTAGAACATTTTACTGTGAGGGATTTTTATCACACCCTTCTCTCTTATATAAAAATTCATTTACAAAGCCTAAGGGTAAACGTTTCTGAATATGAAAAACAAATGACCGACATTCTTTGACTATGATCAATAGTAGGAATTACTAACAGTGTCATATTCTGTTAATCCAACTTCACTACAGCCTATGATTGGTGGAAATGCTTTAAATGATGCAATTCCCCCAAGTTGTATCACTGCTCTGCCCTGAACACTCCAGGCCAGGCTGCCTGTAACAGGTAACTATGCAATTACATAGTTACAAAGGCAATTACATAGGCTTCCTAGTTCGATTTTGAAGTTTAGAGAAGAGTCTGTGCAGACACTAGTAGACAAAGGATCTTCCAGTTTTTTAAAAAAAGTTCAATTTGAAACCTTTTGAGGGAGATAAAGTTGCTAGGAATGGTTGTACTTTTATTCTAAATATTCACAAAATAAGAATGTAACAAGATCTTGAGGCTTGTTGGCCATCAGATAAAAGGAAAATGAGATTCCAACTGAGAATTATGAAGTAGGATTAATTGTACTTTATTTAGCACTAATTAGTATTCAGCTATTCACTATCAGTATTTATTTGGCTTTTTTATACATTAGTTTTATAAATTGGCTTTTTAAAAAGTCATGTATTTACTCAGGTTACCAAATACATGTTTTAGGTAAAAAGGAAAAGTCAAAGGGCCCAGGAAATAGCTCAGTAGAATAAGTGCTTGTCTGGCAAGCACAAGGGCCTGAGTTCAATCCCCAGTTCTGCCAAAAAAAAAAAAAAAAAAAAAAAAAAAAGCTAAGTTGATCTAGACTAAGTACTCGTTCTGTATGAACTTCTTTTTCAATTATATTCTTGCCTCCTTCTCCTTTCCCTTCTCCTTTCTTCCCTTATTTTCATTGTTTTTGTAATGGCAGTAGAAACCAGGACCTTGAGCATGCTAGGCAAGTGTGTGGTGGCTGAGTGACATCTCCACCCCTTCTTACCTTTTGATGAAGATGCTTGATTAATCATTTCATCCATGGACTTCTTTGGCTGCAAGTAAATTGAAAAGTTTATTGAAGTTCAGTAATAATGACTGGTTAAATGTTTAATAGAGGAAAGAACTCTACCTACTGAAGAGAAATGATCAGTTGGCAAAGATGATGTGGCATCCATCAAGTTCACTTTAGACGACACATATAAAGGTTTTGATTTCTGAAAGATATAAAAGATGAAATAAGAGTCAATTCAAATGGATGTCAATGTTCTCCAACCCTCAGTCAACTAAGATATGAAACTTGTTGACATTCCTGACTTCTTTATTCAAATATGAATACAACAGGACGAGTCTCCTTCATTCAGTGTAGTGAGAAAAATGGTTTACTCAGTGTCCTTTCAGATTCTACTTCCTTCTGTTTGCCCTTACAATTTGGGGTTTGCTACAAGTCAGTGCTCTATCCACTGGCTCTGCTTCCACAGGCTCAAACAATTCCAGACAGAAAAAACCCACAAAATGCCTTCGTTATGAACATACATAGACCTTTTTCCTTGTCATTATTCCATGAACAATACAGTATGATAAACATTTTCATCCCATTTACATCATATTAGATATTATGTGTCATCTAAAGATGACAGAGTATACAGGAAGATGTGTGTATGTTACATGCAAATACTACACTTTCTAAATAAAGAAAGTGAGACTTCAAGGCCTCTGGTCTTTAGACACCAATTCCCCTCAGATGTGTTGAGATAAGCGTACTTATAGCTGGTGAGAAACTCAAGGTCTCCCCCAGCACCACAAAGCTCCTGAGAGGTTCAGCAATGGTGTCCCATCTCCCAAGAGCTAAATGATAAAAGAAAAAAAAATGTCTTGTAGGAATTCAGCAGCATGAAAGCAGAATTGTTAACAACACTGTAGAGTGCAAAGCAAACTGTGACATAACAATATGCATACGAAGCCAGCAGCAGTGGTGCACACCTGAAATCCTTGGCACCCCCAAGGTAGGAAGCTTGCAGCCTGCACAGTTTAGCAATTTAATGAGACATTGTATCATAATGAAAAATAAAAAAGGGCTGGGAGGTTGTTCAGTGTGAAGGCCTGGGCTCCATCTCCAGTAGCACACATATGGACCCTCCTCACACACATATACACAAAGCAGGGGAAAAAAAATCAAAGTGTACTAAGCACGCTTACCATAAAAAGGCATAAGGTCCATGTGTGTAGCTTGGGATTCATGAGCTTTGTCCTGTTTAAGGCTTCTCTCTTGTTGGTCTGTATGTGGTTTGATGGTGGTACATACATGGTTGTATACATGCGTGCACATATTGTTTTCACGTGTTTTATTTCCATAGCCTGCTCTCCATTTTTGTTCTCTTCCAAAAGAAACTACATAAATTTTTTCTTTTTTCTTTTTTTTTTTTTAGGTACAAACCTCTGGGTTTTTTTTTTGTTATTGTTTTTTTTAAAGTCAACAGAAAAT